CCCCCCCCCCCCCCCCCCTCTGCATTATCTTTCTCTGCCCTCCTCCTGTTGACTCTTTTTCCCTATGTTGTTAACGTGCTGTCAACATCACATATCTCACGAGTGCGAGAGCTTGGCCTTATGATTGCATATGTATGTATGGGGCGCCGATTTTTGCCATCCAAACACCACGAGAGCTCCCGTGGACGAAGCGGTTTTCGTTGTACTGCTTGATGTGATTTTCACCAGGCAGGGAGAGCATCTTTGACTCTACCCTCCCACCCCTAACCAACCAGTCCTGACTGTCCAACCCGGCTGTTAGTAGCCAGCTTCGATATGGTTGACACGCGGATTACCATCACCATGGTTCTCACGATTACCGCCTTATCCTCCTTCCGTCTTTCCACCCCCCTCCTCCACCTTGTGACATCGATAGGATAGATTACGTTTTTGAGGCACCTTTGGCACGGTGCCGGCAGAAAGGAACGATTTGCCATCGATGATCGGCCCCCTGGGAACAACGCCCCGTCCCCTCGAGGACGCGTGGTCAACAGTCTAACCAATAAGGCATGCAAAACACAAGAGTGCACCCCCCCCTCCTCCCTGCTCCACAAACAATCCTTGCTGCTGCTGCTGCTGCTACAGGTTCCGAACATCGCGGGGTTAGCACGCACGAGCGAGATCTTCGCCGCAACGAAGCTCGTCGTTCCGGACCTTCGGGTCATGAAAAGCCCCGCCTTCACCAAGATTTCCACGGGAGCCGAGCAGTGGCTGCCCGTCGAGGAGGTCGGCGAGGAGCAGCTGGTGGCGTGGCTCCGCAGGGTGAAGAAGAGGCGGGCGGGGGGAGGGGGGCATGTGCTCGTCGGGATCGAGCAGACCAACAACAGCATTTGCCTCACCAAGGTATGTTATCGTGTGGAGTACCTGCTTCGATTGTTGTACCTTTATTTGCAGTTGCCGTGTCGAGATGGCCAACGACAGAATATGCCTCACGAGGGTATGGCATGTGCCTGCTTCGATTGCTCTACCACCCTCGTGGTTACCGTATCGAGCTGACCAACAGCAGTATTTGCCTCACGAAGGTATGCTATTGCGTCTGTACAGCACCTGCTTTGATTTGTTCTACCCCTTTTCGTCACCGTACTTGTTGTGTTTGTGTCTGTCTGTTTGTCCCATAGCTTTTTTGGTTTTTTGCCTGTTTGGTCGCTCAGTCGTTTTTTTCAGAAAATTCACGTAACTTAACGAAAATGGCTACCCGGTCGAGATAGTAAGTAACCCGTTCGAAGGCGTGTGTTGAGATTTTCACGGATGACTTTTCCCCCTTAGTTTGGCGATAGGAGTGGTACCGTTTTTTCTGCCAGTCTTGTGCCCTTTCCACTCTTTCGGATACCATCACTCCTTCTGCGCTTGGAGAGGAGGATACCTCCGCGTACGATAATATACGATAGTGTACGTCCGTTTGACTGCTTGTCCTGCTGCTGACCGTGACGTGCGCGTTGTTCCGCGCAGATTAAGTTCCACCGACACCTGGCCTACACCCTGGTTCTCGGCCGGGAGAACTCGGGGTTGCCCCTGGACGTGATCGGCGAGATGGACGTGTGCTGCCAGATCCCGCAGCAGGGCGTGCTACGCTCGCTGAACGCCCACGTCTCGGGAGCGATCATCTTGGCCGAGTACTCTCGCCAAATGTTGGTGGATTCTTAGGAAGTACACGCATACATGCAGGAGGGGTGGGTAGGGTGCCTCACGGGGAGGAATCCCTCTGTGTGACCATGACCACTGATTGGAGCAGGGGAGCGACGGTACCTCCTACCCGGCAGAAATACATCCCTGTGAGCGATAATATGAAACGAGTGAAAAAAATAAATAAATGGTTGGAACACAAACCGTTCGATATTTTATTGTGCCCTGTTTACGAAGGAAGGCATGTGTTGGAATCTTTACACTGTGAGCATTGAGGGACATTTGGTGGATTCTGGAACGTTTTTTCTTACCGTTGGAACAGCTTGCGGACAGACAGGCGGAATGCACCGGACGCTGTGATCTTTTCTTTTTAACTGCCCGACCGCAGCGAACTGTTCCTAGGAGAAAGCAAATGGAGTAAAACACTCAACAAGAATCGCCACTCCGATGGGCCACCCGTACGTACTCCATGAGAGAGGGCATTAAGAGAGAGGCATTAAGTGCCCGCAGGGTCAACACCACCGCGGGAGGGAGCTCGTCCGGCGTGCGTTCTGGCTAATCGCTCTGCTTTCCTTCTTTCTCGAAATTTTCTCAAGGTTTAGACTAGTGCATTTTCCTAGCGTTTGAGGTTTCTGTGTAAGATAAAGTTACACCACTAGACTAGTCAGCGCTGACTAGTCTAATGGTGTAACTTTATCTTACACAAGATATGCTCAGAGCTCATTTGCACCCTGGTTTGGTGAGTGAGTAGAGACGCTGACTAGTCTAGACTAATGGTGTAACTTTATCTTACACAAGATATGCTCAGAGCTCATTTGCACCCGGCTGGATCACATTTTTGGTTTGGTGAGTGAGTAGAGATCTCCGGGGACGGACCCCTCGCCAGACGCTGCCTGAAAAGAACTTAATTAATTAATGGAGCTTGGGAAAGTGAGCAGCAGGGATTCGAACCCGTGCGTGTATCCTTCAGCGCCAAGTGTAATTTTATCGAGCAAAAGATATACGCTCAGCTCATTAGCACCCGGCAGGATCACTTGGGTTTTCAATAGCTTGGGATTGAGAGCAGGGATCTCCGGGGACGGACCCCTCGCCAGACGCTAATAGTTCCATGTGCACTTTTTGTAAAGAAAAGTGATCCTGCAGGTATTTGAACTCGTGCGGGTATCCTTTGTAAGAGAGGCTTACCCCACCAGACTACCGTATATGACACAAGATAACACACCCCCTGAACCGATTTTCAAAGCTCGATTACGCCACGACGAAGAGGATGCATGAACGAAGTGATACATTTTCGAAAAGCTTTCGGCCAGACGGTTTCAACGCCGCCGTTTTCGGCGCTGTGACTGTCCCTGCAGTTGAGAAATCGAGCTTCGAAAATCGGTCAAGGGGGTGTATTATCTTGTGTCATATACGGTACTCAGTCAGCGCTGACTGCCCGCGTGAGAGCAAAGAGGACTTGAGATTACTCTGTCGAAAAAGATCCTCCATATATTTGTCACGTCAAAGACGTCAGCCATTTACAGTTGATTGTTGTATTCATAGAGATGAGCCGTTTTGTTTCTGTAAGGAAACCATGTGTATATGACCTCTGTTCGTGTGTAGACCACGAGTCTGTGTATATACTACGTCGACAGACGGAGGGAAGGGAGTGTTGAGGAAACGATGTGTCCTTTCGACTTTGTTCCGGTTCGACATGGTGTGGCCCTGTAGGTAACATGCGAGCACCCCAAAGTTGTGTCTGTCGAACCACTCAAGTAGAATGAACAACCAAGCACGCTGTCTGCGTCCTAGCCGAAAGGACGGTTGGTTGTGTTTCAATACTGGTGCGGGCATTGGTGGGCAGTTTATGCTTTCCGAGATCAAAGCCAAAACTGCCAGTCCTCAAGCTGATGAAAGGATACAAATTGTCTCGGATTTATTACTGCGCACGGTCCTACACCTCTCTACAGTAACTATGGACGTACTCAAGAAAATAATTTACCCTCTGCGGTATATCCTTTGCGGTACAAGTCTGTATTCTGTCCTCTCGTTCGTGAGTTTGTTGCGGCTGACGACACGCAGTTCTTCGCGGGGCCAAAAGAGGGAGGGGGGGGCGGACGAGAATCAGACAAAATATTGCACGAGGCCTTTCCTCAATTAGGCGGAAACATGAATCTTGCTTTTGGAATACAATTAACCGCGGAGGACAAGGCAGCGATGATGGAGGTGTGAAGTGTACTTGATTACCATGTATGTGTCTTTCTTGTGTAATTTCCGCAAGAAGTACGGCGGCAGTGATAGCTCCTCCGTGATTGAGAGGCAGGCAGACGTTGAAGAATGTTACTGTTCGCTTATAATGTCGGTTTCGCTTTTGCTGCAAAGTTCCCGTTCGTCTTCATAACCAACGCTACATACATACAGTGTTGCTCCGTCATTGGATAGTTTGAAAATGCTAATCTATCTTAGACTCATTTCTATAGATAGAGATGGATTTGTTGTGTGATATTAAGAAAATATAAAATAAAAACATCGAAAATGCACCTATCACAATATAATGAAAAAAGAGACTCTTTGTGGAGCAACAGTGATTGGTAAAGGCTTACCCATTAGACTACTTAGTCAGCCGCTGACTGAGTAGTCTAATGGGTAAGGCTTTACCAATCGGCTGACTGAGTAGTCTAATGGGTAAGCCTTTACCATACAAAGGAAACACGCACAGGTTCGAATCCCGGGCTGATCACTTTACGAAAAAGCACCATAGTTCTGTCCTCGGCAGCGCCTGGCGAGGGGTCCGTCCCCGGAGATCTCTACTCACAGCCCGGGATTCTACGAGCCGAGAGTGTATCTTTTGATTGGTAAAGGCTTACCCATTAGACTACTCAGTCAGCCGCTGACTGAGTAGTCTAATGGGTAAGCCTTTACTAACAAACAGGACGAGGAAGAACGCAAGAGAGGGCACCCACTACCTTCGACAAGATATGTTTACTCGAAAAGACCCGGCGACGTCAGACAGATGCTGACACTGCTGCAATTCATTTCTGGGTGTACCAAGTACACGTTCGTTCATACACCGATGTAGTCAACTTCTTCTTGATGTGCGTCGTCGACCTAAAGATGTAAAGCTTTTCTCGTTGCTTGCCCAGCACCAGGCCACCTGGATACCGTGAGAAAATTCCGCGGCTGAAAGCTCTCTCATTAGTCTATTTGGTAACCGTCTGGGGTCTCATCCATCAAAGTTTTTACGCTTCGGAGATTGAAGAGCATGCCGTCCGGGGCGACAGCACATCAACCAACACCGACTGTGAGCTGGCCATGAAAAAGGCACGAAGCGCAACAACAACGCGATGTAGGTGAGTGCTTTGGGCCACGCTGATCACCAAGTGCGTCAGAGGTGTGCTTTGTTCAGTACGGCTACGATCCCTGGATGGCCGGAAACGTTGATGACTGTCTGTGTAGCATTTTCGTGTCTACGAGCAGATTTTATGGGTGGGCGCAAAAAACAAGGTTTTCGTGTGATTGAGAGCGAAGTTTGTGATTGAGAGCGAGATTGCGCGATGCGCTGTAGCTGGACTGCCGCTGAGAGGTGGAGCTTGCTGCGTGACTTGAATTGAAGGCCTAGCCCGTAGCTACAAGCCGATACCCTGGTCGTCCTGTGGGGGTCTCTCGTTGTGGAGCTACAGCGGGGAGCAGAGTCTACAGCAGAGCTCACCGCCCGCGATCGAATCGCCCTGAAACAGTTTGAGGCAGGAATAGCCAATCTGGGGAAATCTAGCAACTTGTCTAGCTCCTAGCTGCAGCATCCGATCGCGATGACACGCATATGCTCGTGACGCTGCTGATGAGACCTTCAATTTGCGCCGCTTCTTGGAAGAGCCCGCCCCCTACTTCCCAAGGAATGGCGAGAGGCGTCTGGACCCGAAATTTCAATTTTTTGGGCTCCCGCTCTCAACCGTATACTCCGCTCTCAATCAGGCGAAAACCCTGTTAAAAGCGCAGCCAACCAACTAAATGGTTTGCACCACCCTGTTTGCGGCCTACGCCACTTATTTATCGGGTGAGACTGTTTTGGTGATGTATTAACTTCACGGGAGGTAGACGACCGTCCTTCACACGGACGAAAGAGGGAGT